ACTTTGGAACATCTGCAGCTCAGGCTTTGGAGGGAGACATCCTCGGGTTTTCTTCTAGCACATTTCTAAGTTAGATGTTTCGGTGAAGCTGTTAGCAATTTTGCTGATATGTCGGCCTAGGGAATATGGAAATCTTTGGAACGTCAAGTGGAGGCCAGCGATCGGGACCAATGATAAGTAATCCAAGCCAATTTTGTGCAAAATGGGAAGTTCAGAGGAGTTGTTGAGCAATCATTCAGCTAACAAGGGGCCTACATTTCTAATTTTCCGATTGTAAGATAATAGCGACAGAGTAAAATGCCAAATAACTAAAACTCCATTCAGCGTGGCCGCTCCCAACCAAGGGCATTTTCAGCTTCGGTCTTGACCCACATCGTTTGTAGGTGGACGTGACAGATTGAGAACAACGCTTTTAACCTCAATCCGGGTCCGCATGTCAGTGCTGCCCGCAGAACTGAGAATTTTTCCTTTGTTTTCAGAAGCTTTTCAAATACAGAGTGGAAAAACGATGGTTGACTACGATGGCAACCGTGATTTTCTGCTCTTATTCCGATTCGCCAGAATTATCTATCTTTTAAGTTCATCAATCATTCTGAACATAAAATGCGGAAAGATTTTGATAGAAAATTAAGATTTCACAATTTACTTCACTCCATCTGTGGAAGCTTCTCTGTGAAGAAGCAGATGATCATCTTCGCGGATAGCAATGAGACTCGAGCACAAATCCACCTTACCGAAAACGTTGCTTTCACTTTGCTTAAGGTTCTACGGACGGTATGGGTCAAGAGTGGGGTTCAAAATGCTCCTGCTGTTTCTGGAAGGGCTGTCAAGCTGGATGCAGCTCGATAGATTGTTGCCAACAACTCTAAAACTTCAAATTCTGAGCGAATTCGATGTAAGACGAATTTCTGCAGATAGAAAGCACAAGGCCTTTCTCATGGCATGTTTCTTAGAGTGACACATTCTCGAAAATTTCTGAAAGCCAAACTAATGGAAAAAGAAAAGAAAATGGTTTATCATCTTGAATCTTCCACTTCGGCTTCTTGTGCATTTCTGAATTCTGCAAAGTGGGTTAAATCCAAGACTATTAGTACCCATTAGTCTATTCCATTACGACAGGGTGTAAGAAAAGTGTTAGAAAACCACATTATAAAACCACATTTGAGCTAGATTTTGGAGTGATTCGTTCATATGTGATAATTATGTCATTTCTTCAGATGCACTTAAGACCGTGGCCAGCTGTGTACTAAATCACTTGAAATACGTGATTGTAAACAAATTAAAAAATATAATTGTGCAGTCAATAGTACACTATCGCGTACCAATTCTCAGAGAAAAAACGATTGCTTAAATTTATATGAAGTTACATTCAAAATTTAATCACATCGACCAACCCTTTGAGCATATTTTATGTTTTTTTTTTACTTATTTGTGGTGACCTCAATGAGTCCTAGGTATAAAACGTTATTGTCGAGAGCTCAATCAAGATCCAAAAGAAAATTGTTCAAAGCCGTTTCTGAAACGGCTATATGATTATACCCAGTATATTATATTAAAAAGATTATGATTGAGCTCAAAACGGGCAAACACATCTGAATTTGAAAGGAAATGCTTTACCGAAGAAAAGACGCTGCCGACTCCTTCTTCCCAAACGAAATGCCACTGTACAAAGGATGGCAACGATCCGTGCTCGACTCGCAAGTGAGGATTACCTAAAATCGATAATCATATTTGATTTTAGGATGTCTCAAGAACCAAGTCCAATTTGCTTCATTGAAAACAGTTTCAATCCTCTATTAATCACAGATTAATGCAAGTTACGCGCAAGGGCAAAAACGCTAAGCTAAATGACCTTAATTGAGCGTAATAACAAGTTAACAACCACTTGGGACAAAATAAAGCATTTTTCCCTTTCTTCAAAAGAATAAAAATAACCAAAATGCGATCACGATTAGTAGCGAGTAATACTAGAACAGCGAAAGGAAAAAATCCCCGATTTCAACTTCTATAAAACAAAATGAAATCAACGTGATGTGAATGAAATTAACAAGTAATTCTAAAAGCACAAAATATTATGAATGAAGAGAATTAATTTATA